GTACTCACTAAAAATTATTAATAATTATAAAATATTTGTACCTACATTATAAAAGTAAAATAAATGTAAATAATATATAAACAGTTCTTAAAAAATTTAAATATTAGACTATCAACATTAAAAAACATAGAACATTTCGATTCCAATAGTGTCTCATTAGATTTTATGTTTGAATTTTAGGAATCATTGATTCCATATTTTACATAGTATTTTTTCCATTCTCTTCTCATGTTAATTTACTTGATTAAGGAATTAGCAGACTATGTAAAGAGTAGGTAGGTACCTACATAATTATCAGATATTTTGAATCTGAAAATACAGTAATTCATAACAAATTCAGGAATAATAAATTCTCGCACAAATGCACAATGTATTTTTTAAAATCTTTTCTACCACATTCATCATGAGTGGATTTTTTGACAAAGGAATGAATACACTATGTAAAAAATATATTATAACCAATAATTTTGAATCTGAAAAATGAATAACTTGTAAACAATTTTCTATTTTAAAACAGACAAATATATATTAACAAAAACATTTAAAGTTAAACTCTTAAGATCACGAACTCAGCACTCTGGTATTTGTAGGTAGGTACCTACTAAATAATGTAGATTATACTATATAGAAATTTATAGAAATCATATTTCAACGGTTTTATATTGAATTTACCATTTTTTTTTTTTACTATCGAATATTATTAATATTACCTACCTACCTATTGGAAATAATTGATTTGTAATATTATAACATGCATTCTAAACTTATTCATGTAGGTATAAAAAATTTCTGATTATGACTTTTTATAAATTAGTGAGAATTAAACTAAGCTAGTATTAAATCTTAAGTAGGTACAAAATGTACCTTGCATTGTGTATGCAAAACAGTTTTTCAAATATTCATCAAATATTACATGGCTACATGGCCACAAATCGTGAAGCGTGATATTGAATGGTTTTTCAAAAATTGAATTTAAATTTGAATTGCCTGTATATTTACAACCAAAACAAGTCAAATTATTTTGAACATTTTATCGTGTATAGAAAATGCTAATATAAACATTCAGTGACAATTTCATATATTAATAGTAATTTAACCCATATTTTAGTACCTACCTACCTACCATATATCAGTAGGTATTAACTTTGAATTGTATACAATTCTGACTTAATTTAAATTTTTACTAGAAATAGTAATTGTTGGTAATTGTTAATTACTATTAACACAAATATTATGTAATTAATTACCAATTACAAATTACATCAACATTGTATGATCAATTAACAATTACAAATTACTTAATTAATTGAAGAGGTATAAGTGTATATGGCATAACACAACATAAGTACTAATATAGCTTAATTACTCGAAATATAAAATATTAATCGAGGAAACCTTTTCAAAATTAGTCATAAATCAATTTTTATTTTTGTTAATACGACTTCAATGTGAATTTAAATCTTATATTATTATTATATTTTTAGGTAACTATAGATTATAATATAATTGATTATTATTCATTAGTATTTAGTATCCATTAAGTTTATTTTATAATGATCATTTTGAGATTAGTATGCATATATTATAGGTAAGGATTTTTAGTGTAGTAAACTTGCATCGGTCGGAACACTTTTTCAATTTTAGCAATTTCTTGACGAGAATAAATATTTTACATTTTATAAATTTATAAATTTTTAGAATTGAATATATTCAAAAATATAAAAAATATGTTCCGACCGATTCAAATTAGACTTGTTGACCAATTAAAACATCTTTATATATTTTAAATCAAACCATTAGAAGTACTTTAATTTTTGTCAGTCACTAAGGTCGTTTTGATGAAAAATTAATTGCAGGGGCCTTAAGTAAATCCAAGTCTGATATTAACAATATTGTTAATGAGCATCAGGTTTCAGCATTCACTATAGATACGTTTTAATAAAATTACTTTTAAATATTTATTTATTTATTTATTTATTTATTTATTTATACGGACAAAAGTCCAATTCACAATATATTTGTATAGATAACAATAATATAATATAATTTAAAATAATAAAATATAACATAATAAAAGGTGAAACGATTAATATATAGAATAATAGTAATAATAATTAATAATAATAATAATAATAATAATAATAATAATAATAAAAATAATAATAGTAATAATAATATTAATAATGATTATAATAATAATAGAAATACATTCAATGTTTATTAAAATAATTCACTATTTCCCGAAGACATTAAAATATTTATGGGGTCGTATGACGTATACTTTTTAGATGAATGAGGAATATAAAATAAATGATTGTTGCGAGTGTAGTGGTTTTTGACTTTGAAATTTAATTTACTTAATAAAAATGAATCATCAATCTTGTTATTTAGCAATTTGGTGAGATAGGTGTTGTATGATAAGTGTCTACGTACATTTAAAGGTTTTAAGTTTAACAATTTTAAAATATTTTCGTAACCAGAGTGAGGAGTTCTTTGAATATTACATTTATGACCTATAAATCTGAGAGCTTTATTTTGAACTTTTTCAAGTTGATCATTATGTCCTACATTGTTGTGGTCCCAAATTAATGGAGCGTATTCTAATAAAGAACGGATTAGTGAGGTATATAGGCACTTGAAAGTAAATGGATCATGAAAATCGGAACAGTTTCTTTTTATCATACCAAATACAGCTAAAGCTTTATTTTTAATCGCTGATACATGAGCATTGAATAATAGCTTGGAATCAAATAAAATTCCTAAATCTTTAAACAATGACGAACGATGTAAGGCAATGTCACATATATGGTAATTAAAATGCAAGGGATTGTGCTTTTTGGAGTAAGTAACAATTTGGCATTTGTCAATATTTAATGAAAGGCTATTTGAAATGCACCATTCGTTAAATGAAGTTAAATCACTTTGAAGAAGATTAATATCATCGGGGGAAGTAATGGATTTGTAAATTTTTGCATCGTCGGCAAATAATAAAATGTTGGAGTATGTAATGGAGGATACAGCATCATTTATAAATAAATTAAATAGGAGAGGGGAAAGGTGATCGCCTTGAGGTACTCCAGAAATTACGTTAATAGGTGTTGATATAAAACTTTTATATTTGACAAATTGGATTCTTTGACTTAGGAAAGAGTTAAACCATGATAGTAGGGGATTGGCAAAGCCGATTTCCTGTAGTTTATTGATTAATAGAACGTGGTTTACTCTATCAAAGGCTTTTTCAAAATCAGTATAAACAACATCTGTTTGTTGATTATTAGAAAATGATTGTATTATATGATGTTTAATAGTTATTAAATTAGTAAGACATGATTTATTATTGCGAAATCCATGTTGTTGTGGTGCTAAAATATTTTTAAATATGGGCGTAAGCTTATCATTTATTATCTTAGAAAGTATTTTTGGGAGAATAGAAATTATTGATATGGGACGGTAGTTTGAGATAAATGATTTGTTACCTTTTTTGAGAATTGGATTAATATATGTGGATTTCCAAGATGATGGAAATGAGCCACTATTTAAACAAAAATTAAAGAGATATGTGATAGGTGGTGAAAGTATAAATCTGCAGTTAAATAAAAATATAGGAGAGAGACCATCAGGACCAATTGCATTTTTGTAAGATAGAATATCTAATTCATTGAAAACTTCTATGAGGTCAATATGAAGTGAGTTTAACGAATCAATAGATTGAACTATATTAGACTGGGAATTAATATTTGTAGGAGCTGTATCTTTATATACTGAAGAGAAGTATTGACTAAATAAGTCAACAATTTCTTGACCATTATCAGCTGTCTTATGGTTAAATGACATTGTGTTTGGTAAACCAGTTGATTTTTTAATATTATTAATAAAAGACCAAAATTTCTTAGGTTGGGATTTAAAAGATTTTTGAATTTTAATTATGTATTGGTTGTAATCAAATCTACTTAAGGATTTGCATTGAGCACGTGAGGAAGAGAATTTTTGGTAATCATCGTGTGAGTTAGATAACTTAAATATTGAATGTTGGTATTTTTTTAATTTGATTAGATTTATTAAGTCTTTAGAAAACCAACAGGGAAATTTAGATTTGCAGTATCTTTTTTTAGGAATAAAAGTGTTAATAGCATAGAATAGGAGCGAATAAAATTCTTCAGTGATGGTTGTAATATCATTACTAATATTGAAAAATTCGGTCCAATTTATTGAACCAAGGAAAGATAAAATATTATTATAATCACCCTTATACCAGTCAAAGGTTTCTTCGGAAAAAGGTAGCGGAGAGGGTGTGTAGAATTGAGAGTAACTGACATTAATAGGGGGGTGATAATTGTCTACAGGAACTATAGCATCCTTATTTAAAGATATAGAATGAGAATTAGAATTGGATAATATCAGATCCAGTATTGAACCATAACTGTTGAAAATTGTATTTATTTGAAAAAGATTAAGAAATGCTAGGTTTTCTAAAAAAATAGCTTCAGGAGAGGATAGGTTTAAGTTAGCATTTAATGATGCTTTATTTAAATTTGGCAAATTAAAATCACCGAAAAGTAGAAGATCATCATTTGGGCGAGAAGAAATTAGGTTATCTAAAATAGAAAAATATTCATTATACAAAGAAGATGGAGAATTTGGCGGAAAATAGATACAACCCACAATTAAATTTTTGGTGTTATTAATTTTTATAGAGACAAAGCATAATTCTAACGATTTAACATCAATATCAATTGGTGAGGAGATACATTTTTTATTAACTGCTATTAAGACCCCTCCTCCTCTGGTCGACAAGCTAGATAATAATGATCTATCACATCTATAAATTTCGTAATTTACGAGACCAAGTTCAAGTGAACTAACATTATTATGTAACCAAGTTTCGGTAAAAGCTAAAATATTAAAATCTAAGAAATCTATATTGGTTTTTAATAAATTTAATTTAGTATTAAGACCTCTTACATTTTGGTAGTAGCAGTTGAATATATTGTGAATGGAAATTAGTTTTTTGAATTGATAATTGTTGGAGTGCCTTTGATGTATTTAATGATGAGATTCTGTTCTCCATTAGATTGACGGTTGAGAAGTTCTTGGCGAAGGTGTGACATGTACTCTTGTTGCTGTTTGGTACGGTCAGAAGAGAACCGAAGGTCTTTCCATGTAGAGTTTGATTTTAATTTATTTTGAAATGAGAATAATTCAAAAATATCTTTTTGATCCGAAAAACGTAATTTTACTGGTCGAGGTTTGGTAGTATTAGAAGAAGAAGGTTTGCCGAGGCGAGTGACAGAATTTGGTTTGGTTTTTAAATCAAGAAAATCAAGTATGTTTTGAATTGTAGTGGAATCCGAGCTTGCGTTGGTTGGGTCATTAAGAGCTTCTGGTAAGTTAAAGAGTAACACATTATTCCGCCGTGATTGTCTGTCGACCATCTCAGTTATTAAATTGTCGTTAATTAAGATTGATGACTTTGTGTTTGACGATTCAATTTTAGATTCAATAGTTTCCACTTTAGTTGTTAAAGAGGCTAGTTTAGAAAATAAAGTGTTTAATTGTGCTGAATGATCATTGACTTTATTAGTAATAGTTGCTACTTTTTCAGATAGAGAGTTAATTGATGACACTAATTTATTATTTGAAGTTTTTAACTCATTTACAGATTTAATTAGAGTATCAAGTTTATCTTCCATGTTTGTGAAATGATTGAATAAGGCGTAAGACGTAGATAAATATTTAGCAAATGAATACTAAATATTAAGGGGCAGTGTATATGTAATAGTACTGGCAATTTTACTGAAGTATTAATCTTTATGGCTTAGCGTTTAAGTCTCCGGAATAAAACAGCTGTTAGAGTAATTTGTGTTAACACTAGAGATAGTAATTACGATGTGGCAAACAAAACAAAATTTACTCACTAATTGATGTATAATGATTCCGTCTTTAAAAGCTAAACACTTAAAAAAACCGAAATGGCCGTGACTCTTAATGCATAAAGTGAAAAAAGAACTATACTGTAGAAATAAATTTATACATTAAAGTCACTCGTAGCACTAAAAATTAAAAAAAAAGTATAAGAGAGTATTATATCATAAACTGTTATCACTGTGTTGTATGGTTAGGTTAGGTTAGGTGAATATGATTCAGATTAGTGATTATTGTTTGAAATTTAAAATATAATCAATGTGTTATAATTATATTTTTATTGTTCTCATTAAACATGGAAGTTTGAACTCATAAAAACTAATAATTAGGTGTTGCGTATAACAATTATAATAATTAGGAACTGTTTTTATGATGCACTACAGGTAGTATAGATGCACTACAGGTAGTAAATGTTGTGGGCTTAAAAAAAATATAGATTCTGAAAGTGGGTGGTGACTGGTGGATTAAAATAGGTTTGAGAACCTGTGTACCTACTAATATTTTTTTTTTTTTTTGTCATATTTGTTTTTTTATTTGTACAATCTGTATAAAAAAATATTTACAATAAGTACAATGGAGATAATGATAATATATTGGTAAATGGACATGGTTGACTTGTTGAAGAGACTATTCATTAATAGCACTTCATGGCAGGATGGTGGACTCGTCAACTAGTCGACTAGTAGGTCACGGCACCAGCTACGCTTTAGACGTCGGCCAGGGTCGCCCGGGATTGTTCGGCAAGATAGGTTTTGGATGAGAGGGTTTCGGTGATTTGAAAGTTTAAGGTGGAAACGTTTATATAGGGTTTTGGCGACGTTTTTTACTGTCGGAATGAGGAGGTCCCTGTGGAGGGTATCATTTGTAACATAAAAAGGGGCTTAAATTTAATAACTTAAATTTACTTATTTATTTACGTTAATTTTTTCCCTTTGACAGCATATATAACATTATTACACGATGTTATGTGAATCGTAAACGAACATTTTGTAAATCAAAACTTTTGCAGCAATTTCGTCAACGCAATCATTTAGATAGCAGGTGAATTCCACGTTAGATTATCACAATAAATTACACAAATTTTATCTTTTAAATATTGATTTTATATTTTTTTATTAAAATGAAATATTCTGTATAAATTTGAAATAATTATGTTATTTCTGGAAATAAAAATTTGAGGATGTTTATAAATTTTTTAGACTTTTGTTTACAATATAAACTAGGTTTTTTTAAATTTTCAATATTTAGCTATACAAATTGATAATTTTATAAATTGCTAACCAAAAAAAATGTTCACCAAATATTTACTTTAACACATTTATATAGACATGAAAAAATTGTCAATTTTTTTAAATTTTTATTCGATTTATGTACGATAACATTGTTGTTTGTGAGTGAAAATGTTTTGAGATTTAATACAATGTACCTCATAAGGTTTTCTAACATAAATAAATTGAAATATAGTATATGGTAACAACGAACAACTAACATTATTTATTTTTACATTCATACTAGCTGATCCCGTGCACTTCGTTGCCCATTAAAAATACCAACGCTATATGAATAATATGTTTTTTTTTATAATATAACGGTTACCATAACAACGATTTTAAACCAATTATTATTATAATTATAGCTGATCCCGTGCACTTCGTTTCCCGTTAAATGTACCAACTCTATATGACTCAAACATTGGTTAATGCGCGTTATTTAATATTTGGTGTATGATGTTCTAGATTTATCTTAACTTTTCTGTTGCCCGGAATAAAAATTCTGAATTGCAGCAGTACATTATCAGATAGGTAATTTACCTGCGTTAGATCGCGGACCCCGTGCTGTTTGTACGTAAGTGTATGATTTAACTCAAAAAGTACCAAAGTTATACCAAGTTTGACGTTTTTACTTCATCCCACCTACCTATAAATCCTAACCTAACCTAACCGTACTAAAATCCGATGAATAAAAAAAACAAATTTAACCCTTTTTAAATTAGCGTATCTTCTTCCCATAGGTCTAATCTACACACCGTCATTCATTTATATATAAGATATATTTACAAAAAATAATAATACAAATGAACAAACATGCCGGATTAACCAATAGCAACCAATATAATATAATACACAATAGAGTAAATAAAGACAACGGTATCGAGTTCAAATCCCAGACATCAATAAATAGTTTTTGCAGTTTTTCTAATTATTCGGTTGACTTTTTAAAAATTTTCTTTCGTAAAAACCTTCACCTGGCAATTACGAACATCTTAAAAAAAATTTGAGACAAATCGGCCCAGCCGTTCTCAACTGATGCAATTTCGAATTTTTTGTCTCCATTTTTATATATATAGATTAATATTATTTCAATCATTATAATATTAAAATCTGTTAGCCGGCGCTGTGTATATGCAATTTCGCTACATTGACGTGGAGGTGGTATCTTCGATCTATATAAATATTCTATATTATCGCTAGTCGGTAAACGCATATAATATTAAATTAATGTATTTGGTTTCAATGACAGTTGTAGCATACGATACAATTTTCAAAATCGCAATTTAAATAATTTGAATACATTAATAAATTTTAATTCAGAAAAATAATATGTTTTAGTTTTTAAATATTTTTTTATAATATTTTATATTAATACTATTTTATAATTCTGTAATTTGTTAATGTCCATTATGTTATTTATGTAAATAATTATCAGTTATAATATATTATTTGATTTTATTATGTAACTTTAAGATTACATAACACCCGTTTGTGTTGTCGCCGCCTTACAATTCAAACCTAACCTATAAATTCAAGTTGTATGCCGTTAGAAAGAAAGGTAGAGTGAATCGACCTATCATGAAACTTGACGGTAAGAACATTTACTGTGTTTTGTTGGAAGTTTTTTTTACGACAATTCAGTTATGAAGTGATTTATAACGTTTATAGCGTGTATAATAAATACCTCAACGTTTAGGTGTGCATCATACTTGACCAGCAAGTATGGGTTGTATGGGACAACAAATTCACTGCCGACAGGATGACCTTTGACTTTGACCACAAGTCCATTGTTCGGTCTACAATAAGTCGGGTAACCACCATCACACATGTATACAGTCTGCTCGCTGTATTCTTTGGGATATTTCTTCGTACAACTGTTGTCCACCATACACGGACTGTTGCGGTTGAGTGGTCCACACGGACCATGAATCATGTGCGATTTCACATTGTCGAGTAGGCGCCTTTCGGATGCAGGGTCAGGCAAGTAGGCACACACAACACTGTCGACGTTGTCGGCAATAAATAACTTGCTATCCTCATCCAAGATGATGAGTATATGTGCGTGTGGAAGACCACGTTTCTGAAACTCAATGGTGTAAACATAAGCATCTACATTACCAAACACCTTATTGACCGTTATGTCACGCATTAGCACTTTCAGTTTTGCGTGAAACACCCTCTCCACCAAATCAGGTCTGTCGGTTGCCTTCAACCAACACGGAATGTTATCTACTATCTCTGGCCACCTAGGGTTACACCACGGACTAAGATATACAGGACTGGTAACGATAAGGCTGGAGGGTGGTAGAGGGCTGGATACCAAATGTTTTCAATAGGTACATGTGGGACACCTATCGCTATCTAGTAGGTTAAAGTTCGAGAATCGTGGGAGGAAATTATTAATGAAGTAAATGGTAATCATAAAGTGACATACGTCACGTCTGTATAGAAATTTTAGGAAAGAAGATTTGATTAACAGTTATAGTGGGTGTAATGACTTGGAAGTAAGAAAACATAATTATTTGTATTTAGCCATTTAGTTAGGTACTATATAAGTACCTACTTGGACTTGGTCATTATAAATTATAATTCAATAATTCTATACACAGTTTAAAAGGAATTTAATTGAGCTAAAAATGGTGCTTTTCCTTCAGTATTTAATTCACCATTTGATATTCACAAAACAAATGATTTGCCTGCAGAACCTCGATAATCTTGTACACCTGTTACTTTAAAAAAAGATTATCTATAAGAACTAAAACATATGTTGGAACAACTCTCACTCCTATAAGACACAAAATAATTAAAGGGATGATAAAAAAATCGAAAAATGTTAAGAAATCCAACAAAAGGTAAAATTAATTTAAACTAATTACCTATTTATTTATTAAAATACTTTTTAATATTTTATTTTTCAAAGGTTTAAATTAAAAATTAACCAATTAAATTGTACATTGAGTGAACTACAAGATAAATCAAAGAACTTAACAAATAAATCATTAAATGATTTAGTTGAACATACAAACTTAAATAGTTCACAAAAAACAATAGTCCAAGAAATCGTAAATGCTAAAGTCACCAATTTAAAAAATAGACATTATTTAGAGAATTGGATTTTATTATGCATGTTGTTGAAAATAAGGTAAAAATATTCACTTAGACAAAGAGTGGTCAAAAATATTAATTATTAATTTTTTTCAGATCACCTTCCACTTATGGATTTTCAAGGGAACAAGGGAACAAGTATATCTTAGTCCGTGGTTTTGGGGTAGAAAAAAAAACTGTAATGGAATGTAATACTCAATGGTTTTGAACTCTTCGCCATTCTCTCAAGCCGACTGAACTCCGAAAGTTGAAATACAACAGTTTTTAGTGTGCATAAATCATTGTTTGCAGTATAATTAAATATATATTTTTTTAAATTTTTTTCCAACGTAAAAGGTTTTATCAGTTATTTTATTATTAACTTTGAATTGTTGTATTGCTATTGAATGTAA